AGAATGACTAGCAAACCCGGCATCCCCCCCTTGCACACTTAGATGCCTTTCATGGAATATAGCAGGTTGGGGGAGAAGGTGCGGCACCACCGATTTTATTAACTATATTCAGTCATTTGATGTGGTCCTGCTTCAGGAGACCTGGGCATGCGATAAGATATCCCTTACAGGGTTTACGGCCATTTCTTTGGCTGCTACCAAACAATTCAAGTCGGGAAGACCTAAGGGTGGTTTAGCTTGTTTGGTCTCTACCTCCCTGAAAGTGGAGACAGTGGAGCTCCCCCCCAGTGGGTCCTTAGCTATGGCGCTCCTAATTAAGAGAGGACACAGTAAAATGCTAGTGTTCAACGTTTACCTTCCCCCGACGGTGAGGCAAGCCGACACTAAGGCTCAATGGGGCGAACTGGAGAGCTATATTACCCATACAGAAACTAAATTTCCAGCGCCGTACATCTTTATAGGGGGTGACTTTAATGCCCGATTGGGAGGCCAAATTCCCCCACCAATTGAGGCACTCTACTCCCAAGAAATCTGCCAGGCCATAGGACACCAGATCTCAGCCAGGCATTCTAAGGATGAGCTAACAAATTTTGCCAGCGTTCAATTAGCCCTCTTAGCATCCCAACACAATATGACAATCCTTAACGGGAGTACCCCAGGCGATCTAGCGGGTGAATTTACTTTTAGCTCTTCACGGGGGAGTAGTGTTATTGATTTTGTGATTGTTTCCCAGCCACTAAGACAGGCAGTCCATGTTTTTTTTGTGGACTGCCTCACGGAGAGCGACCACTACCCCCTGGTCACAATCATTGGGCTCTTTACAAATATACATCTGCCTAAGGGCCCCCAAATACTGGATCCTTATGTGACCTCTTATGCAAGGAGGATCAAATGGTCTCCCAAGACTGAAAGAAAGTTCCACTCTCTTTTATCATCGCCGGAGTGTCTTAGCCTATACAATCAGGCCTTAACATGCAGTGACTCAGCGGCAATCTCGACCTTCGAATCATTAATTAACAGTATTCAAAGGGAACTAGGAGCTGATCGTAGGCCAAGTGGCCCATATCGTCCAAGAAGCAATCCCTGGTTCGATGAAGAATGTGTGCTGCTCAGGAACAAGATCAGACAGGTTTACCTGCTCTATCGTAATCGAGGGGATAAACGCCTACCTGAGGACTATTACCGCCTGAAGCGGGAGTATAAAGGAATAATTGTTAAGAAAAAGAGGGCTAAAGAAAAAGAGAAGTGGGACCTACTTCTCCTCTCTATTCAGCAGAAGAACACCCAACTATTTTGGCAAATGGTCGCCTGTTCGCTGCCTGGTCATCAAGAACTCCCTCTCTGTTGTATTTCCAACAGAGATTGGGAAAGTCATTTTGGATCAATCTTCCAGGCTTCAATAGTCACGACCGGACTCGGACAACAACTGCCCCCTGCAATTCCGGACTGGCACCCCGTGACTCATGCTGAGATCAACGAGTTTATCTCTGAACTTAAGTCAGGCAAAGCTCCTGGCCCTGATGCTATACCCCCTGATCTGTTAAAATCTAATCCCAAGTGGTGGTCTCCTCTTTTAGCAACACTCTTTACCCATATCAATACCTCTGGCAGGATTCCTACCTCCTGGAACCAAGCAATTATTGTCCCTATTTTTAAATGAGGAAATAGGAACAACCCAGCCGATTATCGTCCTATAAGTCTGCTCTCCATCATTGGGAAATTGTACGCTAAATATCTCCAACGCAGACTCCTCACCTGGGTCAAGGAGTCCAACATTATTGGTGCTGAACAGATTGGGTTTAAAGCAGGCTGTGCCACATTGGACCACTGCTTTGTCCTAGCGCACCTGGTTGACAAATATGCCACCATACCAGGTGGTAAACTGTTTACTGCTTTTATCGATCTAAAGGCAGCATTTGATTCAATCCCAAGGGAATTGTTGTGGACAAAATTGTTCAAAAGCTCCATCGACAGACGTCTGTTGTTCCTAATTAGATCCCTATACAATCAGACTTCTAGTCAGGTCAGGTGTAGTTTGCAGGGAGAACTCTCTAACCCTATTCCGATAAAGAGTGGAGTAAGGCAGGGCTGTCTCCTGGCTCCTCTTTTGTTTAACCTATTTTTATCTGATTTGGCCTCTTATATTGGATGTATTGAGTCTCACGCCCCAAAGCTGTCAACAACGAAGATCCCGCTTCTCCTTTATGCTGATGACGCGGTCCTCCTATCACTGACGAGGCTTGGCCTGAAAAGGCTTCTCTCTGCATTTGGGTCCTACTGTGCTGAGAATCACTTGTCCATTAACTACGACAAATCAAAAGTCTTGGTGTTCTCTAGTGCCCGGAAGTTACACAACTGGGCTATTAAGGGTAATGCTGTTAAGCAGGTTTCCCATTTTAAGTATTTAGGTATACATTTTCAGAACACTGGTGCTTGGACTAGACACCGAACCCAGGTGCTGAATTCAGCTTTTTGTAGCCATCAGCAGATTTTAAGATTTTTCTATACCCAAGGTGGCCAATTTATTCCTTCTGCTCTGCGTATTTACAAAGCCAAAACCTTGGCCCAAACTCTTTATGGAATTCCGATATGGATACAGGGCTTCAAGGAGTGTATTGAAAGAACGCAGGCTGCTTTTTTAAGGAAACTTTTGGGTCTCCCTCCCTGTGTTGGCTTTGCTCCGATGTATCTGGAACTGGGCATTCGATCAGTCGAATGCATGGCGTGGATCAACACCTTTAAATGGTGGTTTCGGGCACTCTTTTTGGCAGCCCCTGGCAGCTACCTCTCCCTGGTGTTAGCTGACCCCTATACGTCTCGATGGGAGAGGGATGTGACGAAGAAACTCCACCTGTTAGGTTTTTCGGGGGATGCCATGGGAGACTATGGCCTTAAAGATGCCCAATGTAGGGTAGTCCAACGGCTTGTGGACATAGACTTACAATATCTGAGAGCTAGAGCCAATAAAACCTGCTCCCGTCTGGTCTTCAGCCAACTTAATAATTTTGGACTGAGGATGGCCTCATATTTCTATACTCTAACCATCCCTAAGTATAGAAGAGTCTTCTCCCTTGCTCGTTTTAACGTCTTGCCTTCAGCATTGCTGGACGGTCGATTCAAGAGGCTTCCGAGGGGCGAGCGGCTATGTCCCTGTGGTAGAGCGGAGGTTGAGACTGTGGAGCATGTCCTTTTACACTGCCCCATGTACAACGTAGCCAGGACTAATTTGATGTCTCTCTTAGAGACAGATTTCTGTGGGCCCAATGATAGTGATTTGGCCTTGTATTGTCTAGGGGATGGCTCCTCATACACTACCTCTCAGGTCTCAAAATTTTTTCTAAGAGCCGTAACCATTAGAGGAGAGCGCTGTGGTCCCTCTCAGCCGGGGCTTCCGGTGGCCGGCTGTTCGTGATGTTCTTTTCCCTATGTTTTTCTGTAGCTATGCTTGCATTTTGGTCTGTGACCGTAAATAAATTTATTATTATAGAATGAACTGTTCCACCTTGGAAATACTGTTGTATATCCCTTTTTCTATTTGTTCAATTTTTGATGAACAAGGACAATAGTTAAACTTACTGTGAAGTATCTTACTGTTCACTGAAAGATGCAGATATTTAGGAGGTGAAGTAGATTAAGAGATTGTCCCAGCAGCAATATATGCATTAATTTACTATGCTCATTGTTTTATGTTGTTCCCATGTATTTTATCATTTACAAGTAGAATACGTAGAACATAGAAATACAGAGTTGGAATGGTTCTTGGAGGTCTTCTAGTCCATCCTCCTGCTCAAGCAGGAGACCCTATATCATTTCAGACAAGTGGCTGTCAAGTCTCTTCTTAAAAGCCTTCAGTGATGGGGCACCACCAACTTCTGAAGGCAAGACATTCCACTGGTTAATTGTTCTTGCTGTTAGGAAATTTCTCCTTAGTTCTAGGTTGCTTCTCTCTATCCATTGTTTCTTGTCTTGCGTTCTAGTGCTTTGTGGTAGCCCCTCAGATATTGGAATACTGCTATCATGTCTCCTGTAGTCCTTTTCACCAGACTAGACATACTGAATTCCTGCAAGTGTTCTTCATAAATTTTAGCCTCCACCCCCTAATCATCCTTGTTGCTTTTCGTGATAAAGGAAGAATTAAACCTACTCATTTGAAATCAGTACATTTAACTGAAGGATGGGATTTCCTCCATGGAACAGGAAGAAAACTTAAGCCCCATCTCCTAGTTGTATGAGTTGTATGGGTATGTTGGATCCATTTTCTTGTGATCAGAAATGTACTTCCTAATAAGTCTAACTACTCTTGCACACTTTTAACATTTTACAGGTCCCATGCATAAATTTACTTTTTATATAGCTTAATTTATATGTGTGTTTATCAAGAAATATAAGGAAAATGAAAGTATTCTCTATACTATATAACATTAGGTAGACACAGATGCTATTCTGTGCTTGACTATAGGAGCTTACTGGGTGACTTTTTACCAGTCATTCTCTTTCAGCCCAACCTATCTCACATATGGTTATTGTAATGAAAACAATGGAAGGAAAGACCAGTATATTCACTGCATTATGCTCCTGAAGAAAAAGATGGGATATAAATCTAAATAATTATTTAGTAATAGTAATAATGACTATGATGATAAAGATTGACGGATGATTAACATGGACAGATAATTTTCTGTTTTATCTGCATACATATGTGAAGTGATCTCAAATATGCTAGAGATGATGGCTTGTGTGAGGCAAAGTATGGAAATTTTAGGCTTGATTTTGATTTAACATGTCTACTACAAAAACAGGTTTGATTCTTATTCTTTATAAACCTTTTATTGTTTAACTTCTACAAAATGTTTGGAGATGGAATCCTAGAATATTTATGCAACTGAAATTGAAATATTCTACTTGCAAATCCAAATTTGCATCCATAGTCACCAATAGATTAGTTCATGTTCATTTGGTTCTCTTTCTGTTGCTATTGATATTTTTTATTCTTCCCATAGGCTCCATGAAGAAATAATTGACTTTTATGACTTTATGTCCCCATGTCCTGAAGAAGCGGTTATGAGACGAGAAGTTGTGAAAAGAATAGAAACTGTCATCAAAGATCTTTGGCCTACAGCTGATGTAAGCTTACCTCAAGTTGATGCTTGTAGACCATTTTAACTTTGACCACACACATATTTTAATTTTAGAAATTTTTAGCAATTAAATTCAGTATTGATGTTTTTCTTTTCCAGGTTCAGATATTTGGAAGTTTTAGTACAGGACTTTATCTGCCAACAAGGTGAGTCCGGAAATGTTTCACTTGTATTGTTGGCTCTAGTGTTATGTAATAGTAACAAAAAAGTTACATGGCACCATAATGTATATTACCACTCCAGCAGTGGTGAAATGTAAATTTTGTTACTACAGGTTCTGTGGGCGTGGCTTGGTGGTGGTGGTGGGTACTATGACTGAGTGGGCGTGGCCAACTTTAAAAAAAAAACTTTTAAAACCATTTTTCTAAAACCTCTTCGGCTGCTTTTAAAGCCTCTGACGATCCCAGCTGACTTGCCTGATTGGCAGAGGCTTTTTCTTTTTTTTTAAGTCTCTGACAATCCTAGCTGACTTGCCTGATCGGCAGAGGTTTTGTTTTTACTTTAAAAGCATTTTTTCTACAACCTCTTCGGCCGAAGAGGTTGTAGAAAAAATGCTTTTAAAAATAAAAAAAAGCCTCTGATGATTGCGCGGCTCAGCTGGGCAATTGGGGGGGGGGCAGAGATTTTTGCTATCGGTTCTCTGAACCACCCGCCTCCATCGCTACTGGATCAGGCAATCCGGTCCAAACCAGGAGCATTTCACCCCTGCACTCCAGCCTCACTGGAGTGGTAATATACATTACCACTTATCAAGAAGTCAATACAGGAAAAAGAGGGATATTGAGCACAGTTAAAAAAAAAAATCAGAGATAGAAGGAATAACACAATGCTTGCATTTTCATTAACTTAGATTTCTGTGCAGTAAGGTACATAAATTGTATTTTAGTATCTCTTTAAAATTGACACAATTGAAAAGACATCTGATTTAACTATGTATTGATTCTTCAGGTTTAGCTACAAACCTGAAAAATTGTTATATCAACAACATTAGAATACTGTATCTCTAGGGATGCTAGCATTTCTAATTTATCATCTTTTGTACAATAGTGTGAACATATAAAACATTAATATTCTCCCTTCTACAACTTTCAGGTACAAAAAAACTATGAATAATCAACTCGGATATGAAAGAACTTCTAAACCAAGTTTTAAAAACCCAGAAATATCAGTATTAGCGGTCATGGAAGTTTTTTTAGGCTGAGGCTCTGTGGCATTTAAACTTCTTTATTATCCTTCCCCAACTTTGTGCCTTCCAAATGTATTGGAGTAGGATTTCTGACAACCCAATTAACTGGGAAATGATGAAATTGTAGTCCAGTATAACTTGGGACTAGAGAAAGGCTGCCGTATATTACACTATTAAAATTTTGATTTGGAATGAATAACATATTATCATTAAATTAAATAATATTAAATTGACAAGGTAGTGTAAATGGACTGTACAAACAAGTAGAGGTACTTTTCAACATGCATGAGAGTGAACAAAGATCTGTCTTCCAATTATTATAGCATTTGAATTATTGATCAGCCTGCAGATACAGTTAAAACAGTTTTGAAGCCGCTTGGAAGCTTTACAAAAGATATGGATGTTTTGACAATTCAGTGATATATTTATTTTGTGTGTATGTTTCAAACTCTCTTTCAAATTGTGTTATTTGCCTATTCTTCAAATTAGTGTTATAGAATACCTAAGTTTCTAATAAACTTCAGCTATGTTTTTATATCTACAGTGATATTGATTTAGTGGTTTTTGGAAAATGGGACAGCCCACCTCTCCAGCAGCTAGAACAAGCCCTAAGGAAACACAATGTGGCCGAGCCGCATTCGATTAAAGTACTTGACAAAGCTACAGTAAGTAATTTAAAACAAGTTATCCTGAACATTTCCTTATTGAGGGAAGGTTACATTGTCAGATGTGTTTATATTTTATAGATAGCTCTCAATTTATGACCATTCAGTGCTGTAGTATGGGATTGTGCCAGGAGTCCCAAGGCTGCCCCATCTCCTGAGGCATCCCAGGTTCTGCTTAATAACCTGCATGTTTGATCAACAACTGAAACAGGGAGAATAGGAATTGTAGCCATTAAGTCAGACAATCATGAGTGCGTCTTGCTTAATAACTGCCACGACTTATGATAGTAATAGGCAAGCAAGCTCCATTATGATTGTATGTCGAGAACTACCTGTACTTTGGGTTCATTGTTTGCTTATTTATATTATGTTTTTGTGAGTTTCCCCAACTGCAAGTTAGTAACAGGTATATTGTTTGTGAAAATGTTCTTCCCAATTCCTGTCAGTTTTCCTGCCTTCCTCATTTGTTGGCATTAGCTCTAAACTAACTCATATTGTTTGTTTTCAAACCATTTCAACATCTTGCATGACAAAGAATGACTAGAAAGTTCTATTTTTGTTAATATATTGATTACTTAAATCAATCTAATAATTTTATTTAAATCAATAAACCTTGCATTATGAGATTCTTAATACTTATTGAACAATCATGTATGTGTTGTGATAAATCTTCAGTTTGAAATACATTTCACATACTATTGTTCTTAGGTTTTTGTCCTTTTAAACCTGAATTAAAGTCATTGACAGATGATGTGACCAGCTTTGCTGGTGCTGACATTTGAAAATTTCTCTTGGCATGTTAAACTAAGCTGTCTTTAGCTTGTGAGTCATAACTTGTTTTGCATAGGTAGAAACTTTATTAAAATATCTAGTTTGTGTCACCTTCTCTTTTAAAATATTTATATGGCTTCAATTCTTCCTTTATTGCTATGTCATTTTCTTCCCAAGTAAACTGACATTTCCCTTTTGCTTTAAATTTCCAATATTATCAGTAATGTTCAGAGCCTCAGTATGCAATCTGAATTCTAAGTAAACAGATACACATGCTGTTTTTAGACTAGCACATTGCTGTAAATGAGATAGAGTTTAACAACCTAAACTTAAATGCACTTGGAAATGTTTGCCATTGATGTGAATAGATCCTTGAACATTCCATGCCTAAGATACCAAATCTCTGGTTTTATTTTAAGAAACCTTTTTAGATCTGCTGTTGTAAGCAGGTAGTTCTCTATTCCTGTTAGTACACTGGAGACTAAGACCAATAAGATATTAAAGAAAAATGGGAATTTCAGTATGGGAATGTGATAAATCCTCAGTGTATTTGTCTCCTCTTTCTCTCCCAGTATTAGAATCAAAATACATTTTGCAACTCACCCAACTATATCCCAACTTTCTAATTCAGAACATAGTATTCAAGATGAGTTGGTAATCAATTTAGCAGAGAGTTAACAATCTAACATTAATCTTTTAAAGTGCCAATGGCTCTTCCACATTGAAGAAATGGCAAGAAGGGTTAAATGAATAGTTGCCATTGGCAGTAACAGATCTTGTAATATGTATAGAATGTTGTTAAGTAATGGAGGTTGTACAGTTTAATGGGACCTGCCATATTAGTATCACAATAGACATTTAAGTGGCAAGAAGATCTCTTGGCATCTACAACACTAATATGAGAGAATGAAGGAATACTAACACATTGAGTATTTATCGAATTTGTATACCATCAACATCTTTCAAACTCATGGTAGCTCAAACACAAGATGCAAAATAACAATACATTCATGGTACAAAATTTATAATACATAACCTTAATAATAAAAAGCAACAATAATAAATGAAATTTTATAAAAAAGAGTTTTATAACATTTATTATAAAACATAAAAAGAATAATTGTTCCCTAAATGCCCATCTTATACTTAAGTAGTGACTTAAAAGGTTGAAATAGATGTATGTTTATATTAGCTGTGTGCTAACAAATATTAAATGTGCTGTCTAGATGAACTGGATATTTTAAATGATTTGAAATATTGATTACTCTCTGCAAATGTCATATGAATGGTTGATTTTACAACTTTTGCAGGTACCAATAATTAAACTTACAGACCAGGCTACAGAGGTGAAAGTTGATATTAGTTTTAATGTAGAAACTGGTGTGAAGGCAGCTCGACTTATCAAAGACTACATGAAGGTAAAGTAAGCAGAATAAAAAAACAAATATATCTTTATATATCTACTGCTTTTAGAACTGAAATTTGAAAAAAGCAAAGTGGATTGTGGGCTTATGTTAAATGCTATCTGGAATATCAAACAGCAGATATTGATAGATTATATACTTCATGATCCTCTTAGAAAATATATTCCAAAACTCTGAAATACTTCCTCACATCGGTTCATAATCTTTCAAGAATTTTTAGCTATATATTTAAAAGAAAAATGTTTAGATCAGATATGAAATGTACTAATAAATATTGTGTAGGTTTTGTAGATTCCTTTGCTTTCTGTCAGGCCTATTGCATCCTATTCCAGGCTGCCAAAATAATACACATGATCAGTCCTCTAAAAAGTAGATTTTTTTCCAAGGTCTATACATCTTTGGTAAGGTATAAACATAATGACAAAAATAACAAAATTTATGGTAAAGTTCTCTTTGGATTGTTTGTATGAAATCTCTGAAATTGTGTCTACAAGAGCTTGTGCTTCTTGTTGATCTTTTGGATGATCATGCTCTGGTCCTTGATTCATAAGAAACAAACCAGATTGGAAAGCAAAGCAAATTCATATATTTTCTAGGACTGCAAATTGTGCAAAAACTGAGCTTCATACAAAAGTGTTTCTACTTATTTATAATCTTCTAGAATCCAGATAAATTCTTGTGACTTTAGTTTTGCTCAGACTTGGTCTCTTAGTGAGCAAGCCTAGTGATAGATTAGAGACTAGTGATATAAATGGAAGGATGTGTTTTACACTTAACAGGATATTTTGCTGTAACATTCAATCTAGGTCTACATGCAAGATCCTGTGTTGTCAATATATTTATTAGATGTTGTAACTCTTTTTGCTCCTGCCATTTGAAACTAATGCAAGTAATCCTTACCTAGTGATCATAACTGGAACTGGCAACTCTGTTGCTAAGTTGTAGAGCGGCTAAGCGGAAAATCATGTGACTGAAAGATTTACAGATTTACTTCCCCTTCAGTCATTAAATAAAGCACCATAGTTGTTAAGCAAGTTCTGCCTTCTTTATTGCTTCTGCTTGTCGCAAACCAGTTGTGAAGCAGGTGAATGGTGATCATGTGACTCTGGGATATCGCAATACTTGTAAATGTGAATCTGTTGCAAAGCACATAAATGGCAATTATGTGACTGTGGGATACTGCGACAGTTGTAAATGCAAGGATTGGTTTCAGAGGTTTTTTTTTTAATGCTGTCATAACTTTGAACAGTCTAAACGAAGCAGTTGGTAAACTGCTACCTGTAAACCTAAGAACTCTGTATTCAAAGAAATTGAATTATTATTATATATTTGTGTATCAATGAACAATAAATTATTTGCTTAGTTCTTACAAAAATAGTTATTTGGTCATAAATTACTTTGCAAGTCACACCTATTTAACTGTAGTGTGTGTTAGATTTTTTTTTCTGCTTGGGTTTTAAGAAGTGATCTTAGTTCATACGTTTGAAAGCAAGCTCCTCCTGATAGAATAAACAATTACATTTTCTGTGTCTACACAGATTGTACATGCATGAGTGTTTGTTTACCATTAGGTAATTAGTATTTAGTAATCTAGTAAGATTAAGAACATGCCCATACATTATATTCACAAGGTTCCCTTGATTTTTATCTTGTGCTTATTCATTTTTTAATGTACCATATAAGCTATGTGTCACGTTCGAAGCAATTGCATTGTCGTTTTCCTATTTATTAAATTTTAATGAGTGAAACTGTTGCCTATTTTTATAAGGAATAAACATGTAGATAATAAACATTTGCTATTTCATTTTCCTACCTGTTATTGTTGTATATGGGATATTATTTTGTTGTGAGAGGCTTTGTATTCATTCATAAGCAAAAATATTTCTTTTTAGAACTGACTGTTTTTTTCATTTGCAGAAATACTCATTGCTGCCTTACTTGATTTTAGTATTAAAGCAATTCCTTCTTCAGAGAGATTTGAATGAGGTTTTTACTGGTGGAATTAGCTCCTACAGCTTAATTTTAATGGCAATTAGCTTCTTACAGGTATGTCCTTTTTCATAAGTGTCATAAATTGCCTAAATTTTCACTTAAATGTTTTTTATATTATTGTTATATAAATTATATATTTTATACAGGTAAATGAACCTAAGTCATTAAATTGGGCTAGCTATAATTATTTGATGTTGGATCAAATAATTATAGATAGTATGTTCTTTAGGGAATCCACTGTATTTTAAGAAGTTTGGAAATAATTGTGCCTTTCATTTGTAGCACAAATAGACAAAGTTTAGGGCCCCAAAACTATATTTGGTTTGACTGAGAGTTTTAGATTTATTTATTACATTTTTATGCTGCCCATCTCCCATACAAGATGACTCTGGTTGGCTTAAAAATTGCTGTCATAAACACTTAGCTGCTGTGGCAATAGTGTCATGGTGAGGTAGTTTAATGAAAGCACATAAAATATTACATATATGAAAACCCATCAAAATATACAAAATAAATATATTTTATGTAACGGTTCTTAATGGATGGAATAAAATTCTTTTAAGTGGGCATCAGGGTTGAGCCCTATTGGTCTAGAATTTATTGGTGAGAGTACTACCTCTGGAGCCATTTGTATTTCATACTAATTCTTTTTCAGTTGTATTTTCTGTTATCATGAATATAAGACAGGGGTTATAGCCATAATTTTTAGATAATTATTTTCTTGTTGGGTAAATACTGTACATATTTTGATGTTATAATGGTAATACTCCTTTTGGTTTTTATCAATTCTAGTATTTATATAAATTGTGAGAAATCTGTAATGGACTAGAGGTTTCAGATCTTTGAGAATACCAGACATAGCATGCTATCTATCCCATCTTCATCCAGGTTTAGAAGATCCTTATCCTTTAAAATGTGGGAATAAGATGTGACAGAATCATATTTATGCAGTGAAACATAAATTTTGTAAGAAAGTCATATAAAGACAATTTGTACTTTCTGAATACTGGCAAATACTATCATTTTGCAATGTAAAAACAAAAAATATATTTTTTTAAAAAGGAAGAATTACTTTAGCTGATAATATATAAATACCAATTGCTGTGAAAGAAAATAAAATCCTGTGATTTTTATTTTTAATAGTTGCATCCAAGAATTGATGCTAGAAGATTTGATGAAAATCTAGGAATGCTTCTAATAGAATTTTTTGAACTCTATGGAAGGAATTTTAATTACTTAAAAACTGGTATTAGAATAAAAAATGGAGGTGCCTATATTGCCAAAGAAGAAATCATGAAAACCATGACTAATGGATATCGACCATCCATGTTATGCATTGAAGATCCCCTACTGCCTGGTAAGATGATATACGTCGCTCTCAATTTTAACCCAGAAACTTTGAGAGAAATGTTTAAAAGAATACTCTTAGAACTTGGTATGCAATATTTGTTTATTACATATATAGCATAGTTTTTGTGGGGAAAGAGAGGCTGAAGATATTATCATTCACAAGAACAAAGCTGTGGAATATTTACTGGTCTCAGTTTTTCCAGTGTGCATATACAACTAAATATTGTACGTCTGATAACAAGGCAAATTAGAGTGAGAGTAATGCTGGCATAGCTATAGGATAAACCTTTTATCTGAATGATATTGCAGCAGCCAGTGATCTTCACAGGAACTTTTAGTCATGTAATCACTTAGCAGCCATTTAGTTTAACAACTTGGTCATTGGAACCGAACTTCATTGTTAAATAGCAGTGGTGTATTTGCATGTTTTATGTTGTACTAGTCAGTATCCATAATACCAAAACATGACAAACACTTTTCTGGGATTATAAATCTCATGTTTTCCATATATTTCGTCTGGAGTGGGAAACAGTATGTTGAAAATAATAATTGTATTTCCTTTTGGTTTGTCAACCAGTGGTATAAAGGTAGTCCTCAACTTACCACCAGTTGCTTAGCAACCGTTGAAAGTTACAACTGACCAGCAAATGGTACTTGCGGCCTGGTTCCACAGTTTTGATGACTGGCCTCTCCCCCCTACGGTCACACATCTCAAGCTCTCGGCAACTGACTTGCATTTACAGCTATTTGCAACATCCCATGTTCACATGATTGCCATTTATGACATTTTTGCCAAAAACCAGTGTTTACTTCTAGTTTGGGGCAAAAAAGTCCCATAATGAACAATGGGCTCATTTAACGACTGCCACATCCAAAAAAGATCATAAAATGAGATTGGCCACATAATTATCTACTTTACAATTTATGACCATAATGGGCAGGCTCATTGGGGAATCAATGGGCAGTCAAAGACTTCCTATATTCAACCCACTGTATTGGATGTCCCAAATGCTGGAAGCTAGAAAACATATCTCAAGAATAAGGGGGTTAATGTAAGAATGGAGTTAAGATTTGGTATTTCTACTCTGAGCTAAATTATTCACTCCTATAAGAAAAAGAGCATAATATGCAACCTTGTAGCTCTCATTACATTGCTACAAAGGAGTATTGAAATATTTCTTTAGAATTGTACACAGAAAACAAAAACATTAATCCTGTTAAAGTTTGAATAGATCTATGTAGAACAAATAGTTTTAGATTTGCCTAGGATAATTACATAATTTTAGAAAATTTTTGTAACAGAGTATTGTGGAACTTGAAAACAGTCAGACTTGGAGATACCAGATTATCTAACCCTAAACTGCCCTCTGAGAGCCATCTGTTTTTTAATCTCTCTCTCTCTCTCTCCCCCCGAAACCCACTCAGGCATTAATCACAAAATCTTCAGAACCGTAAAGCCTATAAACTTGAAATTTTTCAAAATGACCATTAGAGCATTAATATTTCCTATATTGTTATTAACATGCTCTGAGGCTAAGGAGTTGTACTACCCCTCCCTACCTGAAAAGAAATCTGTTCCAAATGCAAAACACAAGCAGAGGAGAAGAGTTTCACTTTCAGTTTTACTTTCATAGCAGCAAATAGCTTTACTACAGAACAGTTGAGCTTAAGCCACACCCACCCTCCTTCCTGTCTCCTCCTCGCTCATACAGCAAATACTGTTTGCGTTTCCAAACACCCCTCAACTCTCGCACACACTGACAGGATGCTAGCCAGATGAATATCGATGGATGCTGTAGGCTGAGACATTCTACTTCCCCTCCTCCTCTGTTCCAACTGCCAGTTGCATTATATTAACACACTCTGATGCTACGGAGTTACACATTCTACATTGTTTCAGGCTGCAAGTGTCAATTTATCAAGCCTGAGCACATAGTTTTGTAGTGAAGCACGGGGGTCCAGCAAGTGTATCAAATAAGGCAGGCTAGTAGAACTTGAACATGCCTGCTATTTTCTGCCTGAGTGATGTTGTTTAAGTAGTTTAGGTTTGGATTGTTTATTGTGTAATTCCACAAATTTACCAGATAAGCTATACAATCACATTTTTGTTATTATAGCAACTACTTTTCTATCCATGGCCCAAAGAATGAGTAAAATATAAATAATCTAATAACAAAGAAATAGCTGTTGTTATAATAGGAGACTGTGGGTTAAAGTCTTGAAGGTAGCTTTCTTGGTATGGGAACACTTTCTAGTTGGTAAACACTGAATAAATAAGTAGCCAGATTTATATCTGCATGACATTAATACATATCAATAAAAACAGCTGGTACCCTATAAATATACTTCTTTCCAAATCCAGTGCAGAATAAAAGTGATATGGTTAGAGTTCTTTAAATTTTAAGAATGGTAGATAGAAAACTAGGATGCAGCATACTGTTATTTTAAAGAAGTATCAGTTCTGTTTGTCAAACCAGGTTAACTGGGAAGATCGGGCACAAATTTGTACATATGCAAGTCTATAGAATACACATCTCTCCTTGAGATATCTTGCCTATTCCAAAAGCATTGTAAGCATTACAAGGTGAAAGTAACTTGGAGTCAACTGGATAATGAGTGTGATTTTAAAAAATTTGACTATTACAGGCAATGATGTTGGAAGAAGTTGTTATGGTGCCATGCAAGTAAAGCAAGTTTTTGACTATGCCTACATTGTTCTAAGCCATGCAGTATCACCACTTGCAAAATCATATCCTAATAGAGATTCAGAAAGGTAACTATTTGAGAATGTGTTCATTGTATAGGTTAAGGTAATTAGCCTTCTAAAAGCCAGGGCTGCATGTGGGCTTTGAGAAGCATGCCAGGTGCTGCAGTTTAAAAAGTGGGCAGGCCAGCAGAAGTCCAGAGGTTTTTGAGGAATATACTTCAAAATATAAAATTAAACTGGAAATGCATGGGAACTTAAACTTTACATTCCGCTTCCAGAATTTGTAAGTATGGTCAGAGGAGGAACTTTGAATGTTGCAAAGGAGAATATATTCATTTTTTCAAATAATTAAGAATTATGTGTGTAAAGAATAAAAGTTAATACAAATGGCAAAAAAATTTAAAATAAATAAAGGGAGAGGTTTGTAAAAGAAAAAAGCAAAAGAGAGAGAAAAAAGAAGTAACTTCCTCCTTCAGTTTAGGAAGTAAAACAATTTTAATAGCTGTCACTGTCTGTAAATAAAACATAACTGTAAATAAAACATAATCTCTCTTGTCCCCATAATTCATCTCTTACGTAAAGAAAACAAAATAATAATGCTATATTAATAAATCAATCAGCAAAATTCCAATAAGAGCGAACAGATATTAACTATTTTCTTCTTTTAAACCTGGTCAAACAAGCCAATCTTATAAATCTTCACTTATTTAAAAAAAATATTCTTTCATCCCCTTCAAAAAAAAAAAATTGTAGAGGTAGTTTGCTGCTCATTTGTGTTTCAAAGCAAAAATCCTTTAGAGCTTGAACAAAATTTCTCTTGTATCCATAAATAAAATTAATCCTTTTGCTTGTCACTTCTAAAAAAGTCCTTGCAAGTCATACTTGAGCTCTTCTGTATATGCAGAGAGAAAAAATTATCCAAATCAATTTCCTGATTTAATATCTATTCCTCTCCCTTAGGCATCCATCAGATCCCATTTGAATTTACATTTGTCCCCCTTCAAATTAGTTTCATAAACATCTACTGCTTTTGTTCTTTTACAAATTCACTGTATCAGTTTTATCAAACTTCTGATCCATTCTGTCCCAAATTTTAGCTAAATTGCACTAAGGATTTTCTGCTCCATTTTCTTTATCCCCTGGTTAAAAAACCCCGCTCCAAAACAATCTCCATTTTTCCATGAGCAATTATCTTCTAAACAGTTCAAAACTATATTTCCAAATCCATCTGGCCCATTAATAATTACTAACTTCACAAAATCCATTCACTAAGCACCCTTTTGCTTGCATAGTTAGTACAACAAATCTTATATTTTTGGACCTTGGAAATCAAATGTACACCTTTTATGGAAAGGGGAACTAACCTAGTACCTTGGCAATCCAAGAGGTTTACCTCCAATATGCAAATAATAAAATAATCCCAAAATTATATGTGATTAAGATATAAGGCTCAGCCAAAAAATGTGTCCATAAAGGCTGTTTTGCAAGTTTGAATTTGATGTAAATCCCAACTCACAGCCATTCTACTCATAAACCAACTATAAAAATGATGGTCTCCATGGTCTGCTTGTGAGAAGCTGCTGTGTGGAGTCATGTGGATAATGGCATTGATCACTCCTTTGTTCTGAAAAGGTTACCTGACTGGAATCCAGCATTAAGTACCAATTCCTCTTGCAAAGCTGTCTTGCTAGCTAACAAAAGTCAGCAAGGAATTCACTCATCAGCACATACAGGATATGTATGTGAGCCTGGATAGCTCAACAGACTAAAAGCCTGTTATTAACATTCAGCTGTCTGCAATTATTGCATGTTCGAATCTCCCCAGGTTCAAAGTTGACTCAGCCTTCCATCCTAGGTAGGTAAATTGAGGACCCAGTTGTGGGGGCAATAAGCTGACTTTGTATAAAATATACAAAAATATGAAGGCTATTGCTTAACGCATTGTAAGCCGCCCTGAGTCTCCGGAGAAGGGCGGCATATAAATCTAATTAAAAAATAATAATTAAAAAATAATTTAAAAAATGTATTCAATTCTGGCTGAGGCTGCATAATACTTATCATCTTGTAATACAGCACCCTGGAAAGAAGAGCTAATATCAGTTGAAAAAACTGAAATTGACATTGAATGTGTGCAAATCTCTTTAAAAAGTTTTTTGTTCTTATGTTATCTATAGTTATGTTATCTATAGTGAAGTTCAGATTTTTTTAAAAAAAAAATGTTTCACTGTTGTGTCTTGATTTCTTATCCTGATCAACATCTCTTCTAGTACTTTAGGTAGAATTATTAAAGTGACAGAAGAAGTGATTGACTACAGAGCATGGATTAAGAAAAAATGGGGAAACAAAGCTAACTTTTCATCTGATCTTGGTAAGTAAAACAGAGTTTATTTTTATCGTACTTTTCCAATTTTTATTTTATTATCCCATATTTCAGTGCTATCTCAGCCTACCTCAACATTTCCCCCAGTGCTTTGTTATGATTTGTTGATATAAACATGTGAATCCATGCCTGGCAGGGTATTTGATTCCTGATTTTAATTTGTTGAAATTAATAAAATGCACACTGTAGTTCATTTGCATGTTAGGCTTAAACATCTTTGATATAATATCTGACTTAATCAGTAATGTTTTGTTCAGTAAAACTAACAATACTCAAAACACAGCTATACTTGTTTTAAGTGAAAAGGAAATGTATTGACATATAAACATATATGTGCCACCAGATGTTCAGCTGAAAGAGAAAGAATCAATATCTTCAGAGAGTGCAACCCAGAATAGAGAGGCCGAATTGCTTTACAACCAACCTTTGACTTTGTCATTTACTGATATGCAACAATTATCATCAGGTTCATCTGCCTCTTCAGTGTCATCTCTTTCTGGAAGTGATGTCGTAAGTTTTATCTTTTTTCCTATTTAAGCCTCTGTCTACATACATGTGAAAGTTAATATCTGAATAAGATTACAAGCTATTTTATAAGATCACAAATACAATTATTACAAAGCGCACTTTAATATTTGTATTATTGAAATGTGTGTGTGTGTGTGTGTGTATGTGTATATATATATATATATGTATATATATATATATGTATATATGTATATATATAAGTTTGAAGACACTGTTCCTGCCAAGCTTCCTCTAAATTAGTTAAGTAATATATAATCTATCTAGAAATATAGTCAATGCATTACCATAAGCAAATCATCAGAAAATTGATTTGAAACCATTGTCTTATTTAATGTAAAGTTTTTGAAGAATTTCTCAAAATGAAAGTATAGTATAATGTTAATTTAAAAAAAAAAAATTCATTATTTCTATTTTAGTCTCCTGCTTATGATTTTAAGCTCATGTTTACAATTTTACTCTAAAATATTTTTTAGTTTTTAAAAACATTTACATGTGTGGAAACAATTACATAGTGGATCCTTAAAGGCAAATACCACAGAAAACAAAGAAGCCTAGATAAATTGTGGCTTCTCCACAAATGATATCATGACTGCTGACTGAAGTGTAGCAAGTAGCACACACTATATAAATTGTCTTGTTAGCTCAGTCTTAGTGTGAAAGTTTATATTATGCAGTTTTGCCTAATCAGGAGAACAGCAACTGGCTAGTGTTAGGAACTGCACCTATTTAACTTATTTTTCCAGTCTAATAATGGAAGGTCAGAAACAGTTATTTTTCCCAAATACGTTTTCACTGATCCTCCTTTAGAGAGATTATTTTTGTAGTTCCGTGCAAAATCATCCTGCTTTAAATGTGTCATCACAGGTTCTTTATATATAAAATAAAACAAAATCCCATATTTTCTCCTTTTATGTAACATTAAGGATTCTGATACTCCACCTTGCACAACTCCTAATATATACCACTTCAGCCTGCAAGCACCAAATCCACTTACGGCTGGAATACATCCGGCATTAACTATGCCAAGTGGTAAAAATCAGTCTGTGCCTGCAAGAGCATTGATTATGGCCACGAATAATCAGGTATGTGAAACATTCTCTGTTTACTTTGCTCATGCAAGCATTTTGAAAATAATAAACCTAAACATTACTGAAGAGAAAAAAACCTACTGAATTAGATAAAAAGATAGCAATTTGTAGAATGATTGAAATAGATAGAAATGAGCAATTCCAAGAAAAATAATTTTAAATCAGTATAGAAAACCTCAAAGATCTTGTTAGCTAGGGTAATTAACAAGCATTTTAGATAGTTACCACTTTACTGAAAATTTCAAGATTCCTAGCTGATTTTATTTTTTTATTCTATTTTATTTTATTCAAAAGAAACTTAAAATACAAAACTCACAAAATTTTTTAAAAAGACAAAAAATAAAAGAAAAACAAAATAACCAAGACACTAAAGAAGTATATCAAAAAGAAAAAAAATCAACACGTTATCCCCCTAATTGAATACCGATATACATTACTACAATATTGGTTCCCAAACCCTGTGAAATGGCCCCTCTCCTAATTTTTAAGCTAATAAATCTATTCTCAAATTATTGACCTGTCCTATATACTATATATTAATGACAAAATAGTTAACAAAAAGCAATAACAATAATAATAATAAAGACAAGGTTAATGTTTCAAAGATCTCTCTAAACAGACTGTTATTGTAATCCACTGTTTGCCGCAGCATCCTATCTATCCCAAATCGTCTCAAAAGTTAAAACTAATTCATCCTGGATCATGTTTGTTAGTTAATGCCATCTTGATACTTGTTACTCTCTATAACTTGATCAGGGAACAAAAAACACTGAAGCAGAAGGAAACAAGAATTAATATCATCTGAATATTTCAATCCAAGGTTAAAAGAAAAATTCAAAAGAGATAAACTCCAAATACTTTGTAAATTTAAAAAGTACCAAAACCTTGTGGTGAAAGTCCAATATTAATGTAAATCAAATGAAAGGGCTTCACCCTACAAAAATATGCTACGCTTCCTTACAGAGAGAACAAAGGTTACAAATGAAGGCAAATATGCAAAGAACAAAAAGTGTATTCAGAGCAACATAAATTAAAGAGAAAGGAAAAGAAAAAAACAATACAGAAAGGGGTTGAAATAAATCGGCATCTATTGGTCCACTTGGCAATTTTTAAGAGAAAAAAACAAAGTAAAACAATAAATTGAAAAAGTGAATGTTAAAAACCCAGGAAATGAAACTGCTGACAGAAAGGTGGATTCCCCCAGTGTCTTCTGATTGCTTCCAGAGGGAACTGGAATCTTCAGGACTCCCCAAATAGGTTTCTGACCACCCAGAACTCATGGGTCATTGAATGCTTCCATTCAAATCCAGGAAGCAGCTAATAGGCTGCCAGAGAACCAGCTTTGGCAACAAAAACAGGAGATTGTCGGTAATAGAGAAAAAACCTCTTATTGTTTAACAGCCATCTTGGGAGGAATCACCAGGATTCCTAGCTGATTTTAGATCAAGTGAAAATTTCTCCAAAAGTGTTAGATTTGCCAAGCCATAGTTCTAAGATATCCAGAAAAATACAATTAAGCTAAGAAAACTCAAAATGGTTGAAAAATGAAACATTTTGTAAATTAATCTCATCTATTTCCTCTCCTAAAAATCTCTTTTGTAATGTAGTAGATGAGAAATGATCCTTCAAAATTCAGAAAGAGCAGACTTAATATCTTCTTTGATTGGCTCTTCTCGTGGAATTCTTCAAAGTAATTTAATTTGCTATTTTAATTTTTCTAAATGCAACTTTCCTTAAATTTTGATTGTAGATGTCTGAATGCTGTATTGCTTTTTCATAAGTATAAATTCATTATTTAAGGACTGCATTAAAGTCCTTAATGCAGCAGAGACAACATTAATGAAACATTGGCAATAATATTAAATAGTTGGTAGTAATATTAAATATTTCCTTTGTTTTCAGCAGCACAATGGAGTGAAGTTTACTGTGAAAGGAGCTCATAATCAAGGCAGTGGATACAATTCTGCCAGTAATGGAGCTGTAAGGCAGCCAGTTAGCAACAGAGGTCATCACCAACACAACCGTAATATTTGGAGGAGAAAGAAGTACAGGGACAGTTTGCCTATTAGCCTTAGCAGATAATGGCCAACTTCAGAGTCCTCTTTAGACTAATGCAGTGTGTGTGATACTGCTCTGGGAGGATTTGAGACCAGCACTGAGTACATCTGTCTGTGGATGTTGCCAAATATCTGCATCCAATGTTTGCATGTTTCGTGTGTGGTGGTGGAGTCCATCTTAAAAGAAATAATTGTGCTTATCGTGAAGCCTTATTAACTGTGGAAGTTTGTCTTCTGCCTATCCATGATTATTACAGTGTTGAAACAGCTCTGGTAAGATTATTGGGAGGACCATAAATGCTGTGGCTCTTTGCTGTAGCTGCATTTGTTCATAATTGGTTGTTTTGTTTTCTTGGAAGGATAATGGGTTGCTTGAATGTTACTTTCCATTACAAAACTTTATTTGTGGCATTGTTTACCACCTTCCCATTCCTTCTAAAACTGGTTTTGTTGCCTTACTCACATCAAACATAACGTGCAATAACTTGGAATGTTTTAATCATGAAAATATTTATGAAACTGAGGGTGTGCACATATGCACACATATCTGTTTATGTCTACTTGTGTGTGTGTGAGAGAAAAATTTTCTTTCTGTTTTTTACAGATCCTTTCCCAAGTTGCATTTTCTAAGTTGGGTTCATGCTTCTGGTGGATTAGCTAAGCAATCAATTTTAACACATCAAGCTAATAATGTTGGAAGCTTCCTGATTTGTAGAAGAACTGTTGATCTGGCTTAAGTATTTATAATAATGATTGAGTTAAAAGGCATTTTGACTAGTTACCTTACTAGTCTGGCATGTAATGCTAAATTCAATTTTATGAGATAAAATGCCATCTAATGCTCTTACAGATCTCATGTTTATTTTAGTGGGGATCATGTACAAAAATTTGAATCTTTAACGTATTTTCTACAGCTGGACAAAAATTACTATTACAAATCAAGATATATATATATATATAATTTCAGTAAAGAGTCAGGGATATATGTGTGTGGGTATGTAATGTGTGGTGTGTGTGTGTATATATCTCCCTGACCCTTAACTGCAAATTACAGATACCAGTTCATCAATTTTATTTACCTTCTGATTGCTTGGGCCATTGTTAAATAAAGCATCCAACTTGAAGAATGTGGAGAAAGGAATGTGTAGTGATTCCATTCAGGAATCTGATTAGCAGCCTGCATTAGTTCTGTTGAGAGCAACTACCTAAAATGTATCTTCTGGCTTCTCTATGCATTCTGAAGTGTTAGTCTGTTGTTTTGTAAGAACACAGCCCACCCAGTGGTATTGAGATAATCTGTATGGCAAGCAACTGATTTAAAGATGCATACAGATATACTATGCAAGTGTATATCATCATGGCAACATATTTGCTTTATTTTAAAGCCCCAAATTGTGTATACAGCCTACCCTGCATTTAAAAAGTACCATGTTTCTTACTATCGCTTACTCCATTTTTTTATGCTTCCCTCCCCCCCTTTGTTGAGATACAAATTCTTAAAATTTGGAAAGCACTGTGTTTAGTAATTCTGCTTGAAGAAATTCTGTCTTGACATCTTAAATTGTACATGGAAATGAATTTTCTTAAGCAGCGAATATTTGGCACAGAATGGTCAGAAGCTGATGTAGCACATGCTAGAGATTTTTTTTCAAAACAAATGCAAGGCCTTTGAATATCATGAGAGAAAAGATTGCAACATTCCAAACCAGAGTAGCACATATTTTGACTACAATTCATCTTGATCTAACGTTATCTTTTAAATTGATTGTAAGATAATCAGAAAGACAGGCATAAAATACAAGGTTTATTATACTAGCCAGCATCTGTATGGAAAGATATATAAAGTTTGCAAATTTAAGGGAAATTTGAATGTGAAAGTTACTGAAAATGTACACTATGGTTGTTTATCTCTACCTGCAAATTGCCCTTATCACAGATTATATATTATTTCCTCTGGAAATAACTCTTGAACCTTAAAACTATGTTCTAGATATACACGGGTTTTTATGTCCCCAACCCCATACAGAAACCCCTTAAGTATGCTACCCACCTTTTTAAAAAAAGCCTCTCCCCAAAATTCCTTCCTTTCTCCAAAGCAACGTTTGATAATATTATCAACCTCTGGTTGTTAATACTTCAGGTGAACAGTAATTGGACAACAAATGAAGAATAAACAGATTGTGAATTGCCAAAACTTCAGCTCTGCTTGATATTGGAATCAGTATTTTTGTTTTGATTATTTTTCAAACCTTATAAAAGGCTCGTAGTAGAATTTGGTATAGGAAGGGATCTAAACTTGAATAAACCATTCAAGGGCTGATTATAAACCTATAATCATTCTACATGCTAGCAATATTGACTATGAATCTACATTATTGAGTATTGATGTTCTAAATAGTTCCATTTAAAAGCAGGATAGACTTAAGCAGATACCATGTCCCATTCAGTCATGATTAACCATAAATTGCACTGGCTATCACACTGGTTACGTTCTATGCCTCTGTGGATGACTGCTAAAATATCATGTTCATTTTTGTGTGTAATAACAATGTGGGAAGCTAAAAATACATATTTTTATGTGAAGTTTTGTATTCTTTGATTTTTAATAAATTTTCAAGGCAGGTATGTCCATGGTGTAATGTAGCATTCTTCATCTGTCATTGTGATCTTTTTATTTTCATTCTGTTATCACAATTCTGTTTTATAATCAAAGTAAAATTCCATTTGATCCAGTATTTCATGTATTAGAGTGTCTAACCAAATCATACTAAGACATTTATAAAAAGATCATGAGAGATAGCTAGCCCTTTTAGTGGTCTGAGAGAGATTGTCTTTGAATCTGGATTGAGGTGGGCCAATCCTGATGTTACTTCAGGACAATTTCCTTGAGAGTAAACCTCCACAAGGTTTTCTTTAAGATTTTGGTAGCAATTTTTATACAGTGTAACTTTGGGGCTACAACTATCACATCGAAAATTAATGAACTATATCAACAGTGTATTGAAATTATTTTGGAAATATTAAAGCAAAATTGCAAAATATCTGTTGCAAAACGTGTATGTGTGAGTGAATAAATCTTTCAGTTTTTAGTTAATCAAATACTCCTCTAGAGTTGGCTAGATTTTCAAGGGACATGAACTACATTTTTCTCAGGCTTCATTATTGATGTATAATTTGTTAAAGTATGCTAGAGTAATCTTAATACTATTTTAACTGCTCTTAGAAATGCTTCATTTTCATGCTGGTTGTATTTAAACAATAGTCATATGTACATGACTAGCTGCATGCTTTTTGTGGGAAAATCATATTTTTTTATTTTCTGATATTAAAATAATCAGGTAGTTCTCACTTACTGATCACTCAGTCAATAACTGTTCAGTTATTTCATGACACATGATGAAAAAAGACACCACTTGTCCATGAAATTGTGGCTATTGTAGGATGCCAACAGTCACGTGAACACAATTTGGACACTTGACAACCAGCATGCATTTACAATGGTTGCAGCATCCTGAAGTTAGGTGATCACCACGTGTGACCTTCGCAGCCACTTTTCAACAAGAAAATCAATGGGCAGGAGGGGGGACAGAAAGTTACAAGTCATAGTCATGTGATGATCCGGTGAATAATCACATTTTTTGCAATGAAGTTGTTAGGGGTTTTTTTTTTCAGTCAGTAATTGAGAACTACGTATGCACCCAATTGTCCCAATAAAGTTTATTCTTATTAAAAAACAAAATACTTGCCTAAAGAAATGTACAATTACCAACCTTTAGCATATATTATTATATTTTAAAGAAAATTTTAAATTGCCTTATTTCTGATAAATACATTTAAATACAAACATAACATATTAATGTTAATGCATAAGGAAAAAAATAAAATTCCATAGCTCATTTTTTTTTTAAGAACAAAGAAAATAATAGGTGAGACTTTGATGGTCCAGAACTCTTTAGCACATACAATATAACAAAAAAAGAGTGTAGGAAAGAAAGAAGAAAGTCCAAAAGTATTTCAGAGCTAGGCATAAGATTAAGAGTAAGGATAACCTGTGCCAACTTTCACTTAGTATAGCAACCATATTCTTTATCCTTCATGCTTTCTGAGCATCACCAGTGTATAAAAAGTACTTTCAGAATTTAAGTACAGGTATACTCAACTTGCAATCATTGGTTTAGTGACTGTTCAAAGTTACAAAGCCACTGAAAAAAGTGACAACCGTTTCTCACACATATACTGTAACTATCACAGCATCCCCATGGTCATGTAATCAAAATTCAGGTGGTTGGCAACCAGCATGTACTGCAGGGTCCCTAGGTCATGTAATAACAATTTTGTGATCTTCCCAGACAGTTTCTGACAAAGTCAATGGGGAAAGCCAGATTTGCTTAATGACTGATTCATTTAACTGTAATAATTTATGTAACTGTAGTGAAAGGGTTATAAAATTGGATATGACTCACTTAACTGCCTTGCCTAGCATCAGAAATTCTGGTCCCAACAACCAGTTAGGTCAAGGACTACCTCTATATGATATTAATTTTGTGTGAACAATTAAAACTAAGAAATTACGGAAACAAAGGGGAATGGGTATTAACTCTTAATCACTATGGTTGCTGGGATAATTCCCCAAATTTTTACCTTTGATGCTAACAGATTGGTTCATTTTCATATAAGTTAATATATCACACAGAATACAATATATTTGTAGCTGTCCCTTCACTAAATTACACTGAAACTACAAATATTACGAGAATATCCTTTTTATGGGACCTGGAATATATGGACATTATAATTTAGAAAATTACACATTAAAAAAGAGGGCAAATGTTTACTAAATAAATAGCTGCTACAAAAAAAGCATCAAAACTACAAGCTACATCTTTCTCAGGTAAGTATCAGTCTGTAAAAATTTAGGCCTGTTTCATGAGGTTGGTGTCATGTCTGCGTGATCTTAAAATGCTCTGCTGCTTTCAGAGATTTTTGTACACTGAACCAAAGAACTTTCAGTTCAGCTATTCCTCCAGAGGAGATGTGAGAAGAATTGTGGGTGACTGGAATCTCATGGCTAGGAACTTCTGCCATCTCCAAGTTCCTTGGTGGTGGTTTCCTCAATGCTGCTTTGGCAAGCCCCCTATTCTTTCAGAGCAAAGGTAAACTTGCACAGAGATATTCAATGTTTTGCTCAATGTGAGGAAAGAAGAGAGTTGAGGGACTCCATTTGCCATCTGGAAAGATATATTTTAGCAATCCACACTGGACTTTCCTGTTCCTGTTCCTTATCGTCTCCTGCTTAGCCAGCCATGAGTGCATTCCTTAAGGTTTGTTTAGCAAACAAACAAACAAACCAAAAACCTTGTGGGAATACACTCAGCCTAATAATGTTGCACTTACTTTAAACTTAGACTCTGCAGTCAGCCAATGTTCCTGAATTCTTTCTATACCAACCCCTTACAATGAAAAGGGCACCAGGTTGATGTAGTGGTTAGGGCACCAGCCTAGAAACCAGACCATGAGTTCTAGTTCTGCTTTAGCCACCAAGCCAGCTGAATGATTTTGGGTCAGTCGGTCTCAGCCTTATGGAGCAGGTAAGTGTAAAATACTTCTGAAAATATTGCTAACTGCAAGGAATTGTCCATGTAGTTGCCAAGATTCAAGGCTGACTTGAAAGCAGAAGTGTGCGCGTGCGCGCGCACACACACAGCAGAGACGAGACAGGGACAGACTTATTACGCAACATTTCAGCCCATACCAGGTTTACAGATTGCTGTGGCAAGAGAATTATACTACTATTGTTTTACTTAAGATTCCAACCTCTTGTTATCATACCACTATCACTGTTCTATTATGGATTGCTGCTTAGGCAAATATGCAAGCTTTTGGATTTTTAAGGGTTTTTTTGTGGGGGGGAGAAGGCAGTTTTAGGAATGGATTTCATATAATTATATAGTACATGAGAATTACAATTGGCTTAAATTGGTCTTGTGTATATTCACTAACTAATGAGAAGTAAGGAAATTATAGAACATGGCATTTAACAAAAAATGGTCAAATGCAAATTGTTTACAAGGATTTTAAAGATATTTATCTTTCTTGCTCTTATTGGACTTGCTACAGAAAGAGGGCACTCTTGCATTAGCTTTCCTTTCTTACTAAAATATAAAATGCACTGCTCTCCCAATCTGTTCATTTTTGCATCTTTGTTCTTTGTGTTGCTTTTTTTTAAGTTTCTCTGACTCTGAATCCAATTCAGATAACCTGTAAAATGCTTTTGTTTTCATAATAAATTTCAAGAAATAAAAATGCTGAATACATACAGCATACAAATAAAATGCAGACATGCTGAGAAACAATCTTGTTATTTATTAGATAATTATTCCTCCTTTATTGCTTTATAAGTAACTCGTGATGAACACACCTAATACTCCCTTCTCTTATTTTCCCCATAGAAATTGAAAAGAATCAAGCTTTCCCCCCAAACTCTCCCCAGCCTGGGGCAATAAACCAAGGCTGAGGGCAGTCATATGAATGGAGGAAAGGGGGTCAAAAAGTCAAGACGGCATCCATCAATCAAAATCAATGGTCTTACCATCTTGACTTTATGAATGCTTCCTGAGGGACCCTTTGACTTTTTTTTTTTTTTTAAAATGACAACTCTCCGCCCTGCCCCCCAGCAGAATAGATAGGAATGATCAAATGATAGTACTTGGGTCCATGGTGATTTGGTTCATTCATTCCAAAGTAAAGGAGAAAGCCTTATAGGGCAAAATGAAGGAAATGTGCTATGTCTTCATTACCATGTAACCAGGGAATGAAAGAAAGCTAAAGCTCATTTTCTCTTTCCCTGCAAAGCAACTATTAAGGCAGTTCTTTATACTTGGTTACTCTCTTTCTGTCGATACTTCTCAGCGGCTCTTCAACATTTGATTTGCTTGGAGCTACCACATTCCCAGTTATGATTCAAATGAATGCCATTGCAAGTTGCACGTGATGCTTGTTTGAAAAGGCCTTAAAACAATAATACTTGTTCAAACAGGAAACATCGGTTTGTCCTTGCAGGCTCTAAGTCTCTTAAGTGTAGAAACCAGTTGAGAAACTTTTAGAATCCTAAATATGTCAGCAGGGCAGAATTCTTTTTTTTTTCTAAAAGTACCCTTGTGAATAACAATGACTGTGCTGACAGAGAGCTTCTATATTCAGAATGGATCTCCTTTTCAGAGAATGGTGAGTATGTTTGTTGTTCTTATGACCCTAATATAATCCCCATGCTCTTAGTCATGTTTGGTAGATTCATGATTCAAGATTCTCCAATGGATTCTCTAAGCATCTCTTCTGGAATTTAAATTTCAGAAAAGCAAGGAACACCCCTGGATTGAGTGAGAAGCACATAGGCTCAGTCTGATCCATGGCTCTTGTCATATGCCCATTATGATCAGTCACTCTGTCCTCTATTGGATCCTCAGGGAAAATCCCAAACTCCCTCTGGACCCCATCAGAATCCATTAATCACTTGGGTTAAACTAATCTGTAGATCTAATAGGTCTACGTCCTTCCATGAACCCTTGATGAGCCGTTCTTCCCCCTAGCCTCCCTCCTGTTAGCAGAATGAATTCAAAAGTAATCAATACATTAAATTTAAGAAATGGTGATCTTGTCCAGTATTTTGTTTCCAACAGACATGAGATTAGCCAGCTGCAGGTGCTCAACAGCTGACATTGAGAAGTATACTGCCTCTGAATTGGAAGGTTGTATATAATTGATAATAGCCATTCAGTAGTATGGAACAACTACTTGTTACCCAGACTCACGCTCAGCCTTGATTTCCTGTGACCTTAGATAACGTAAGTGATGTGGAATCAACTCTCCTGTTCAGTACAAGAATCCAAAGCACAACAGACAGATGTGGTAAACATATTTAGTGAAAAAAACCCTGGTTAATTGGTTCCATAGTTGAACTGCTCTTAGAGTTTGGATTTTTGTCCTCAACATTGAATCATAGAACATAGAATCAAAGGGCTGGAACGTCTCAGAGGTCTCCTAA